TGGACACTATGGGCAATTTAGCATGGCCAATCCATCCTAACCTGCACATCTTTGGACTGTGGGAGGAAACCCATGCTGACATGGGGAGAATGTGCAAACTCCACATAGACAGTTGCCAGAGGGTGGAATTGAACCCTGGTCCCTAGCACTGTGAGGCAGCAGTGCTAACCACTGAGCCACCAATGCCACTCTGTGACACCATGAAGCTTCTGAGGCTATACTCTTTCCATCATGATGCTTGTCGGTTAGAGTGTTTCTCGGGTCTTTTACAAATTCAGCGCTAGCTCCTTGCTTTGGCATTCTGTGGGGGTGCAATCAGGCTGAGATGCAGAACAGGCAAAATAGTTCATTGATCTTAAATGTATTGATGTCAGTGGAACTAAATAACGAGGGGGCAATGGACTGAGGTAATTCCACACACAGTTCCCATCAACTCGAAATGCACAACTAAGGATGCCATCTCCCTTTTCTCATCAGTTTGGGCATTTTCTCTGCCTCCTTTAATGACCTATGTATCTGCACACTGGAAACACCACAGCATACAAGGCTACAGGTCAAGCCCTGGAAAAAGGGATTAGAATAGATGGGTGTTTAATGACCAGCATGGCCTGAAGGGTCTCTTTCCATGCTGTAAAAATTGTATGACTCTGCCACCCTTCACTAATGCATTGTTCAACTTGACAAAGGGGATTTTGTGTGAAACACCTGCATATGGTAATGGGGAGAGAAACTGCATTCTACTTTTACTGATCTTATCACAGCATCATAAATGCTTGTCAAACTTCATCTTTTCATCCAGCAGAATTTATTAAACAGCTGTTAGTAATGATTATGGACTACTGTTCCACAGAAATAAAATATAACCTCGAAGACCTAGCTACAATCAGTGGCCGATATCACTGCCAGCAAATACATAGTCACAGTTAGCAGTCTTGTTTATTGCAATGCTAGTGCCACAAAATTCAAATCTAATCCAATCCATAAATTAATCCCTTTGTGTTAGGTTCCACGATTGGCATCTGCTTTATAGCCCTTAATCTACTTTATGGCCTAGCTTAACTGTCCTTTACCAGTTTGTGATCTATTCCCGCTGGAGTTTTAATTAATCACCGCTTGAATTTTCTCTAACTCTCAGAAAATGAACTTTTCCATAGTGAATGACATGATTTGACATTTCAAACTCTGGTTTGCTCTGACATTTTGTACCAGAATGTCAGTTCATATAGGATGGGCAAGCAAAACAGATGGAAAGATAGACTTTATTTTGGTAAGCAACGTCCCGTTCAATTTTTCTTTCTTGTTTGTTGAATTGTGTGGAACACCTTTCCATCTGTGCATCTTAGAAGGAATATTATATTCAAATCAACTGGATAAAAATTTGTTCTTGGGAATGCAGAATCACAGGCAAGATCAGCAATTGTTGTCCATTCCTAACTGCCCTTGGAAAGGTGATAGTGTCCATCACCTCCATGGAATCCAACTTTGATAACTCTAACTTTAAATGCATAGTGAAGTTGTTGACTTGCTTGTTTTCGTTCAGACGTTTTGTCACCGTGCTAGGTAACATCGTCAGTGGAGCCTCTGTTGAAGCGATGTTATTTTACTCCGCTTGGAATTTGTACTGTCCGGTCCATTATGGTGAGTAGTGTCATTTCCAGTTCTCTTCCAAATGGATTTGTAAATGGGGTCCAATTCTTTTTGTTTGTTGATACAAACTCATACAGAACAGAACTGGAAATGACAGTACTCATCATAGGGTTGTAAAGAAGGCGTATGGTGTGTTGGCTTTCGTTAGCAGGGGAATTGAGCTTAAGAGCCGTGAGGTTATGCTGCAGCTCTATAAAACTCTGGTTAGACCACACTTGGAATATTGTGTTCAGTTCTGGCCACCTCATTATAGGAAAGATGTGGAAGCTTTAGAGAGGGTGCAGAGGAGATTTACCAGGATGCTGCCTGGACTGGAGGGCAGGTCTTATGAGGAAAGGTTGAGGGAGCTAGGGCTTTTTTCATTGGAGCAAAGAAGGATGAGAGGTGACTTGATAGAGGTGTACAAGATGATGAGAGGCATAGATAAAGTGGATAGTCAGAGACTTTTTCTCGGGGCGGAAATGACTATTACGAGGGGGCATAATTTTAAGGTGATTGGAGGAAGGTATAGGGGAGATGTCAGAGATAGGTTCTTCACACAGAGAGTGGTGGGCGTGTGGAATGCGCTGCCTCCAGTGGTAGTGGAGTCAGATACTTTAGAGACTTTTAAGCGACTCTTGGATAGGAACATGGAGGATTGCAAAATGTAGGGTATGCAGGGTAGATTGATCTTAGTAGGATAATAGGTTGGCACAACATCGTGGGCCAAAGGCCTTGTACTGTTCCATGTTCCATGTTCTATGTTCTATGTATAACGGACCAGACAGTATAAATTCCAAGCAGAGTAGAATAACATCACTTCATAGGAGGCCTCACCGATGATGCAACCCAGCACGATGACGAAATGTCTGAAAGAAAACAAGTCAACAACCTCACCCACAACCTGAGCTACAAATCTTTGCTAAAACCTTAAATGCATGGTATCCATTGATACAGCATATTATGCATTGTTGTATCAGTATGAGGGAGAGTGTTAACTAGACCCAAGCTTGGAGGTGAATTATTAGCAAAAACATGGGGCATTTTCTGGGCAGAGAGTTTATTTACTAATCAAAGTCTCACCGCTCTTCCAAGCCCAATTCTCCCTATCAAAAACAAAATCAGTACCAGTTGTACAGATATATATATTATAGGATTAGGTAAGGAGTGGTGAATTGGCAACTGTCTTTTCAAATCCCTCAGTTGGCTGTGACAAAAATGTAGACTTTTTTGGCATGAGGCTATACCTGTCTCTAGCAAAAAGAATGGTAACCCCATGTCTACCATATCTGTAGAGAGCCAACTACATGGTTCTCTTGGGTTAAAAAAAATAACAATTTTATCCTCTACTAACTCTGAGATGTGACATCAGGCATACACAAGGATGAAATTAAAGAGGAATACGTTTTATATGTGTCAGTGTTTGGTCTCCTTGCTAAACCCATTTCAATCCATGGAAGCCCCAATATTAATTCAAAAATCAATTGTCCAACTATATTTTATCACTATCTATTCCATTCATATGACAAATAATTAACACCATCACTTTTTTTTGTTTTCACCCTTAACTATTTGATAGTGACAGAAAGTGCCACCTACTAGCACAGTGGCTCAGTGGTTAGCACTGCTGCCTCACAGCACCAGGGACCCGGGTTCGAGTCTACCCTCAGGCAACTGTCTGTGTGGAGTTTGCACATTCTCCCCGTGTCTGTGTGGGTTTCCTCCCACAGTCCAAAGATGTG